AGATTGTGGGATTCAAGCTCAAGGAGAGCTCAGCTGCTGAGTATGCACTACCATTTTGCATTAACTTGTAAGGAAAACTGCCTTTTTACAAGGTAGGTACATGTACATTTAGCGTGACATACAACCGGTGATACCGGTACTCATCTTGCTGAAATTGGTTGGAATAATGCTACATGATGCTACTGCACGAGTGCTTAAAAAAACTGTTGTGAAATTATACAAGGACAAAGACTATAGCACCAAAGCAGATACAGACAGACTATGTACATGTAGAGTAATGTAATGTGCATTGTACATGTATATATATATAAATTGTAGGGAGAATTGGTACATGTATACAAGTAGGTACCGGGTAATTAGTACAATCCATATTGCTGTTGCCACGGCTGTTGCCTTAAAATTCATGTACATGTAATTAACATGTACAAATTTAATAAATAGAACATATCGTACATTTCATAAAGGACACATTAAGGATGGCTTGAACATGGTCACTTGTGCGTCTGTATTAAATATCCTGTTTTGTGGGGAGGGATTTCCCAGTTGGCCTTCGTCAACAAATCAATTGTGTTTTTAGGTTTTCTCCTCTAAGTATGGTTTCCTGCGAGGAGTAAACAATGTTGTTAAAATTAGTGTACAATTCTTTTATTCGGAGAACTAGAGCAAGGAAGGAAGGAAAATTGATCTGGGCCAAAATGTGTGGTCAGTCCCAAAGTCTTTTCCTCTGTGTTTATTGAGCAGATGGTATCGAAATTGTTGTTTGTGTAAGTAGTAAAATTCCTAGATGCACACCTTGGCTATTTGATTGCGATCAATCGTTTGATCCCTCCGTTTTTTATGTCTGCTTTCTGTAGTCCAGAATTAAAAATCTCCCAAACTTCCTGAGGTTTTTGTGGTGGCATGTAAGATGCAGAGATTAACTGTCATTAATCTGAATGCTCTAAAGCTGTCGTGGCTACACCACCTCGTAAAAGCTGTGTAATGGTGAAAGGGGCAGTCGGTTCAGTAACCATTTGAGCTCAAGGCTGCATGCAATAAAAGCATAGGTTCACTCTGGCTTCGAGACGAGTCTACAGTGGCACACGTGTGCAAGTTGGGCATTTTATAACATGAGTGCTTCTAAACTTGGTGAGGCTCTTTGTTGAATATAGTGTCTAATGATTCAGGTCTTAAAATTAAGGGAAAAAATCTAAGGGTATTATACATGTACATGCCCCTCATTTTTTGGGAATGGAACATTGTGTATTTACCCCATTGTGAGTTTTAGCCCCATCAAGACTCTGTTTCGACACTTTCAATTTCATCTCCCTCAAATGTCAGACCAGTTGTGACAAAAGGAAACCCCTTGGGATTCAGTCGTTGTCTGTTCCGACCAAAAAGTCATAGGTCACCAATTGGACCAATTTCATACAGTAGGATCCAGATTTGAGATCAACTTCCTGGTATGGTGTGCTTATCGACTCGTACCTCTACATGTACCGGTAGGCTGACTGGTGTGCAATGAAAATCATCTGAATAACCTTTGGTACCAGCTGGGTGCCAGCTTGGTGCTAATAAATATTGGTTGAATTTCTTGAGTCTGTATCTGATTTGCCCAAAGACAGTTAACTTAGCTTTGAGTCAATTCCGCAATTCAATGGACTGGATGCCATTTCTTCAACTTGCTCTGTATAAATTGTAAGTTCTTGTTTCTAATTATGCTTGAATGTATAGGTGGACTGCACCTTTAATTTGTACGTCAGTGATCAAATGTCAAATTAGTACTTAGATAGACACTTGTATGAGTACCTTTACTAAACATGAAACTTCTTGGCCCAGTGATTCCATTCTGAGACAAGTTGTGGAAAAACAAGCTGGGATTTGGGGAGCCCACGTGTTTAGACTGAGATACTTGTATCCATCTTGAGAGTGGTTCACTGTAGGCGTACATGTACATGTACATTGTACCTGTACAGCCCTGGGTGCCAGTCCATCTCCATAATGATATTGGCTATTGCTTGAGATTGAAAATGCCAAGGTTTGGGCCAGGTGTGCTATTACTCACTGTCAGGAGTTGCTTGTTGACCATGTTCAATCATAGACAAAAGGCATCTGTAGTCTCCTGGTTGATTGGTGATGTTAAAATGGATTTGAGGGTAAGACACACACCTTGGCGTCTGCTAGACCGAAGTGCTGCTGAGTGCTATTTTTAGAACTGAGGGGTAGGGTATACATGCACAACGTTAGATTATTGCTAATTGTTTTCCTGTTTGTCCTGCATTAGTTGAACTGTTTTAGTTTTGTTTTAGCTTTTGTGGTATGGGTATGCATTCTGTGGGTTTCCTTGTCATAGACTTACTTGTACATGCACACAGTGCATACTAAATTGATTAGTAAAGGAGAGAGATTGGGTTGTAGAAACGACTGTAGGACTTAAATCAAGTTGAAACCAGAATAAAATTTCTTCATTGAAGACACACAGTAATATGTGTAGTAATATTTTTCCTGCTATATAAAATTCCCAGGTACTCAAATAAACAACTGCAGGTGCATGTGCAGCTTCAGACAAGGAAGTTGGTGTACGTGTATTAGGCTGAAAACTCATTCCATTCTGTAACTCTTTAAGGGGACCCTGCCAGTTTTACACCTGCCCATGGACTGGACAATAGACTAGTATAGTCAAGCGGATGAAATAGGAGGAACTTTGGTTTGTGTAAAATGCGCGGGACTGCCCCTTGACTTCATAAAAGTGTGGTACGATGTACATGTACATTCTATATTGTTTTTTTTTTTTTACGAATTTTGTCACTTCATGAACTTGTAGGTCAACCCCCGGGAGGGAAAATTCAAACGATGAAATACATGTATGACTTGTATAACTTGCTGTATGAATAGTTGGTCTTGTAGTTGGCTACATGTATTTCAAGTAAGCACGTGCGTGCTTGAAGAGGTTTGCCTGAGTACGTACACAGTATACTGTTAGGGTTTTGGAATACTCAATGATCATTCTTTTTCTTATGTCTGTCATTTTCTTCCACTCAGTCCGAAGCAGGTATTACAAGAGAAAGGATCCATGGAATAACATAAATTTTGTGATATTTACGTGAGGCTGAGTAATTTAGACAAATTTAGCATTGTCGGGATTAAAGTCGAGGCTAAGCCAGCTAATGAACTTTTGAAAAAAAAACAATCCTTGCCACAAGAGGTGACCGTGATCAACCGTGTATTCTGAGATCCGCAATAAGGGGAAGAACAAACCTGTCCTTCCTTGATATCTCCAGACACAACCCAAATCTGTACATTACTGACAGAGAGTAAGAAGTGGACCTGTACATATCCAACAAAGTTAGCCGCTTATCGACTCCATGCCCAAATAAAATGCCTAGCTGAGGGGAACACTGGTAACAGACTTGGTTCTGATACGGAGGGTTGTCCTTTTGATTTCTCGCCCGGCAAGACAGATGCTGGTCAAATCCCAGTATTGTCCATAGACTGACATGCATGGAACCATGGAAACTATTTTAACCAATTGATACTCAGGTTTTTACCAAGAAGCAATTTCTTTAGAAATTATATTTAGAATGAAGGACAATGCGTACTGTTAAAAGACTGAATTTTTTGGAGTATCTGCTACAGTGTGGCTCCTGCCAAAAGTTTTGTTTTTTTTAGCAGATTTTGATGTGACACTTTCAAATTCTGGTACTCAATCAGAAGGCTTTTCCATTTTGAGTTTCCATTCAGAAACAAAGAAAAAGTCATAGATTGCACAATGTGAAATATGCATGTGCGTCGGAATTTTGTCAACGTGCAAAATGTTTTAATGAGCATTGTGAACTGCACTGTGATGTACCGGCATGATGGTAATTGATCAATGCACATGGCCGCTGCAGACCGCAAGCAATATTGTAGGGACTGCTGTTGGACTGTGTGGGGATTTTCCCGTCTGCAAAGCGTGCGGTCATTAACTGTTGTACAGTGATAATTGAATGAATAAGGGAAGTTTACCATTGAAAGCCTTAGAGCCTACAGGCTGCTCTTTGTTCAACACACCTGGCGAAATTTTTCTGACCCCTGGATTTCTCTTTCCAGGAGAGCCAGGTTAAGGAGACTTTTTTTTTTCAAACAACAGAGGGGAAATTCAGGGGGAATGGGTTTTAAAAAGTTTGCTGTTAACAATAGCAATGGGGCTTTTTGTCTTCAGGAGCCTTTTTTTTTGGGGGGGGGGAAGGTGATATCTATCTGGTTTGCCTGACAGACTGTCTGCTACCCTAGATCATTCTTTGCATGTATGTAAATGGAGGTGGGGGCAAACAATTATCCAGAATTTTGAAATGAGATTATGCCAAATGGAAGGAAATTTAGCAAGCAGACAGAAAGAAGAATTGCATTGAAAAAGAAAAAAATGAAATTATGATTGTGGACTTTTAAAAGTCAATTGACAAGTGAGTTTGCGACAAGTGAGTTTGCTTCCCTGGATTCCAATTCTGATCAATACACAACAAATCTGAATTGTATGCCAAATCATTTTTCCTGTTTCAAATGGATCAAGCTCAGGAGTTCTTAATGAAGGATTTTATATGAACTGGACAAGTGGATACACAACTTCCATTTAAAAATATGTACATGTAGTTGATTTTGCTCTTGTGAATGGAAGTCCGTTCTGTTTGTGATGAATCAGTCGTTGCCCTGACAGTTTATGACATCTTTCATTCATCAGAATTTGTTTTGTTTAAAG